TCTTGTCTTATAGATTATTAATATTATTGTTAACGTCTAACAATCGCGACAAACTGCGTTTGTAACTTTTTAAAAATATGTTTATCGCGTAACTTGGAACCTTTGAGAGTTTAAATATTTAATAACGTGAAATTAGTTTTTTGATTGCGTTAATGGCAAATGGCAAAAAATGGCAACAAAAAAAAAATTGCGATAAACGTACGTAATACTCAATATTTGTATTATGCTTGCTGTAATGTTCGTTAAGAACTAAAACAATTGAAGTTCTGATGAAAATATTGATAGTTTAAATGAAATCCGAAAGAGAGAACTGGAAAAAAAAGAAGAACTGCATTTGATTAAAAAAAATAATAAAATCTGTAGGAAGTTCCAAAACGCATGACAACGAAATAAAAAATTATAAAAAAAAATAATGTAGAATTTATAAACGATAACTTAACTAAAACCGCGAGTCCCGATACCGCATTTTCATTTCAAGTAAACTATTTATTAGCATATCTGCTGAATGTGTAATAGACAAAAAAGATAATTCTAGAGTTTCCAATTCACAAGTTGTTTTAGAAGAAACAACTGACAAAAAATGCAATCCTGATAATGAACCAATATTTGTAGATTTTTTTGTACTCTTTAGTCTCACAAAGGCTGTTTAGTTTTTTGAAAGAAAAACTTATACAAAAAGTTGAGAAACATTTCTAATGAAGCAATTGTTGATGTCTATATAGAAAAAAATTTATTGATTCTTCCTGGTTCGAGGTGTTGCAGCATTCATCTATGTCAATCTTCAAATCTATTGAAAAAACTATTGTAAAACTCAAAAAAAAGGGGATTGAAAATATTTTTAAAACAAATCGTAATTCTGTACATCGAAATTCGCTTTTTTACCATTTCACGGATAAAAAAACTTTAGTTTAGTATAAATGTCTCAGAATAACTGGACTTACAAGAGAGATTTATTGAAATAAGCAAATCACTTGATACCATGAGAAATTCAATCAAGCTCTCTAAAACCCAGGATTTAGCAATATATCTATTCTGCCTCAAAACTGGGTTGGATCATTTGACAATATCAATGTTTTTTAACTTGGATCCTGAATTTGATATAAGTCGGTTACTTCAGCAAGTCAGAGAGTCACTTACTATTGATTTTGTTCCAAATAATCTAAGCGTGAACCATATCCAAAGAAATGAATTATTAAAAAACAATATCCTTAATGCTAAAGAGATTTTTCAAACAAGTGATGATTAATTGATATTAATATCAGATGGAACTTACTGCTATTGTCAAAAGAGTAGCAATAACTTTTTTTATCGTAAAACATACAGTGTGCAAAAAAAGAAACACTTCGTAATGCCATTCGTGGTATGTACTTCTAACGGATATTTCTAAGATGTTTATTGCCTTTTCGAAGCAACTAAAAATGACGTGACGATATTAAGTGAGATAATAATCAAGGACCAAAGCTTATGTTTTTTAATTCGACCAAACGACGTCATTATATTGAATCGTGGATTTCGTGATTGTATTGACGAGCTTAAGAAAGATTATAAACTTGATCCTAAAATGCCAGCTTGGCTTAGAAAAGACCAGACAGAGTTAACAACTTTGGAGGCGAATCAATAACACTTTGTTAAAAGACTCAATGGGTTATTGAAGTTATCAATTGCTTTCTGAAGCAATTGTTTCAACCCTTAAATAAGGTTCGCAACATAAGCCTCTTTCATACGCTAGATGATTACCAGATTGCTGCCACGTTGGATAATAAATATTTGAAAGATTTTTCTCTGATAATGACAACAAAGTAGAAATCATTAGAATTATGAATTAGAACCTTAAAAAACAGAATTTATTTGAAATATTAATTAAAGAATAGAAACTTCACTGTAAAAGTATCTATACTAAATTGGAATCCCAAGATATTAAAGATTTTCCGGTACTTGATCAAAGCACAATACAAACTTATATAACAATAGGATCTTATCAGCTTTAAACAAAGATTGAGTTATATATCGAAGCATCTTAACAAAGGAATATACGAGTTAAGACTTAATGAAAAAATTGATTCAAATCAACGTTCTTTACAGGCACAGTAAAATGACTAAATACATGGTCTACATTAAGTATTTACAACATCAATGATCGGTATCGATTCTTGGTATTGTACTTTTAAAACAGGAATGCGTACTGTTGGCTTCTGTAAAGGAATATACGAGTTAAGACTTAATGAAAAAATTGATTCAAATCAACGTTCTTTACAGGCACAGTAAAATGACTAAATACATGGTCTACATTAAGTATTTACAACATCAATGATCGGTATCGATTCTTGGTATTGTACTTTTAAAACAGGCACAGTAAAATGACTAAATACATGGTCTACATTAAGTATTTACAACATCAATGATCGGTATCGATTCTTGGTATTGTACTTTTAAAACGTTCTTTACAGGCACAGTAAAATGACTAAATACATGGTCTACATTAAGTATTTACAACATCAATGATCGGTATCGATTCTTGGTATTGTACTTTTAAAACAGGCACAGTAAAATGACTAAATACATGGTCTACATTAAGTATTTACAACATCAATGATCGGTATCGATTCTTGGTATTGTACTTTTAAAACTGTTGGCTTCTGTAGTCATATTGCGAGCGTAATTTTATTTCTTTCAAGCGACAAAAAAAGAATCAAAGAATTCAAAAGTGCAGCTGGTTCGATGTTGTCTATTTTCTAAAGTTGGCTGTATTGGAGACGAGTGACGATGATAATAAAGATGATGATTAAGTCTGAAATAAAACTAAAAAAAAAAAAGGCAAAAGGTTACCAAGTTAAGCTTGGTCGAGTGAGTTACAAATAGATAAAGTTCAAAACTCTTAAATGGAGAATACTTTTAAAAATGATTCCTTACGGATACTGTCATCACCAAAGAAATTCAAAACTTTTCAATCACCTAGTAAAATCAAAAACCTAGAATGGTTCTTCTCAAAAGTGCCTAAACGGGGATCTAAACATACGATAATGTCTAATTCAACAACTTTCGTTATTAATAATACTTGTAGAACAAATTATTTTCTTTTATCTCTTTGGACATCAGTTCAACTCGAACCAAACTTGATAAACCTTTTGCAAAGTAGTCCATTAAAAAAAATCTTTATATGATATAATTAAGCTAATAGATAAAAATGAAAAGGATGAAGCCAAAACTAATTGAATAGCCGAAATCTGTATGACTTTACTAATAACATGTATGAATCAAAGTTCTGTAATAAATTGATTTGGATCTGAATATGAATTTTTAATAAGTATTTAGCTGATTTACAATCTTATGAAATCTTTTTGTGCGGCCGTGGCGCAGTGGTTAGAGCGCTTGCTTTAAAAGCAGGATACCCATGTTCGAAACGAGCTCCGGACATATTTTCGCGTCACGGTAATAAAGGAGGGGTGAACTTCCTGGTTAAATGCATTTCTACGGTGCTCTGTGACGAGACCGTTAAGTCTTCTCGGGGCACCTAAATCACAAAAAAAAAATGAAACCACTGAATGCAAAAACTGTAAAACTACTCAGAAGAGCTTAATAAAGGGCATTTTTTTTGAATGGGATTTTAAGTATATTGTTCAAAACATGCAAAAGGAAAGACTATGCTCCAACTGTGGCAGCATTATGAGTCATAATGCTGCCACAGTTACTAACAGCTCATGAATTAATTTTCACAGTTGATGACCTACCTCACGAACTTTTTCTAGAGAACAAAACTTCTTATCATTTTTTTGTTTTGTACATTTTGTAAAAATAATCACTTTCAATCAATTTTCCAGCTGAACTCAATGTTGCACTTAATTGATGATTTTAAACCAACTCAACATGACTTGGCTATACCTAGTCACACGGTCAACACAAGCTTTTACTTTTTAATAACTAAAAATGTAAAAAATTACTTTGAATTGAACTGGTTCCGAAGTATAAAAGAAGATATAATTTTTCATAACTTGTTAGATATTTTTCGAATGAAGAATAATAAAAACAAAAAAATCAAAATAATTTTTAACACTGTTGTTTTTACTCTTTAATATAAGCAAATATTGACGAAAACGCAAAGTTGTGATAATAAAAAAAGGTGACTTTTAGACTGTTTTTTACGAATGTTGCCAACAGAGATCTCAATATATCTTTTTTTATTAATGACTAGCGTCTCTTAATTATTAGGAAATTATTTTGAAGTTTTAGGACCTCGCTTGGCAATTAGGGGGCCGGAGACGATATCTTACTACGTCATGTTCTTTATCTTATCTTTTATAAGTTTAGTTTATATTATGTTTTTGTTTGCGGTTTTTGTTTGTATTCTCTTATTATTATTTGTTATTCGTATTATATCATATTATTATATTACTTATATAGTTTTCATTTTTATTAAAACATTATAACTATTAATAATCATTGTCTGTTTCTATTTTATCTCACAGTAAGTTGTTACTTTATGTTATTTTTTAACTGTTTATAACTTTTCTTATTTGTGTATATAATATTCAGTTGTTGTTTAGAAATCTATTAATGATCATTTTATTAAATTGTTGTAGGGATTGTTTATACTGTTATTTATTTTTGTATTGTCGTGTATTTCTATGTTTTGTTTATACTGTGGTGTAATTTTGTGCATCGTTTATATTGACCAGTACACTTGTTTAATTTTTATGTTAACTGGAAGTTGGAATGTGCAAATAACTATAAAATACAAATAGAACTGTTAGTTTTTTTGTAGTTTTTTTGTAGTTTTAATTGTTGTATGTAACTTAAGAGTCTTTTTAATCTTTTTGTATTTAACTTGAGCATTTATATAAACAAAAAATCGCATAGATTACTAGGTGTCGGTTCTTTGCCAGAAAGTATAATGTTTAAAAAGAAAAGAAAAAAAGCGTACTTATCCGTGTTTCAAGAGAAAAATAAATGCGGCATATTGCAAAGTTCATTTTTCACATTTTTACTAAATTTATTTGACTTACCAGGTATTGGAAAGTTTCCGATCCCTAATTCAATTGTATTTTCATTCGCATTGAATAAACTTATCCGCAGTACCAACAACAGCAACAACTTTATCATTTTTTTATCTTGAAATAATACTGAAATACTTTAATTTAACTATCATAATTATCTAATTATTATAATTACTTTTTATAAGTTATAAATAAGTAAAATTATTGACTTAATTTCAAATATAATATATGTTTTTCTTTTACATTATAACTTCATTCGTTTAAAATTTTGTATTAATATAATAGAAAGTTCCATCTAAATCTATACAAACAAAAATTCCTATACATTAATCTTAGCGTTTAAAACTTGCAGAAACGAAGAAAACTTGGAAAGAATCTCAAATTGAGCTCATGAACAAAGAGATGTTGTTTTACGCGTCAACGAAAGCTAATATAAATTTATATATATAAAGAATAAAAAGATTTGATAAACTAAAATAAAGGTTGTGAATAAAAAATTAAAGACATAATTTTTTATTCCGGTGGGATTAATGGTGAACAGAAGAAAGTATGTGTTCAGCTCTTGGTTTAATTAAAGTTTTTTTTTATCATTTCTATTCACCTCCCTAAGGCCATGAAAGCCACTACAGTCGAGTAAGCTACTTTTAGATGTGGTTTCAACCCTCTCTTAACTCTATAACTCCGAAACACAGGCCTTGGAGAAACAAAGCGTGTAGAAACAAGTTGATCGCTGTACTACCCCTGACATGGTGGGGATCGAACTTGGAACTTCTCGTTTATGAGGTGAGTGCTCTACCACTACACCACAACCGTATATAATAATATACCGCATACATATCCCATAAATTAAGTAGAACTGTGGTTTCTTTCTATCTTTCTGATCGGTAACTTTTTTGATACTATTTGCAAAATTAAGGCAACTCCAAGGATAAAATAAATTGGGTTGCTTCTCATTCATTTTCATTATTTCATTTTCAGTGAAGTCTCTGGTTATTTTTTATTATTATTTACATTTATTTCGCTCTTTAATAAATACAATCAACTTATATATACAAAAAAGTACATACATATCCATAGTAAAATTCTACATCTTGATCTTTAATGATCTTTATTAGATAAAGAATTAAACAGACAGGGACTTAAAGAAGATAAGGATGATGATACGTCGTCGTAATCTTTTCATAGAGCCCCTGATAAATTTTTAACGAAATACAGCCATTTTTATTTTAAATTGAAAATCGAAAAACTATGAAAGTATAATAGTATTCTTTACTGCGCTAAAAATTAAAACAAAGACAAAAACAAAAACAAAAAAAGAAAACAAAAAAACTTAAAAAAAAAACAACTAAAAAGACTGAAAAAATGATCAAGTGATTTCCGAGTAAGTATATGCACAAATATAAAAGTATTATAAAAAATATAAAGTTTCAATTTTAAAAAGTTTCTGTTTTTGTTAGATACTTAAATGAACTTAACGACTTAACCATACACTTGAGTCCTTTTTGATAGGTATTTTTGGTCCTCTATATGTAATAATATATTTCGTATATTTATCAGATTCTTAAGGCAGTTTATATAAATTTATTTAAATTTGCCCTAAGGTTATAGTTTTCATTTATATTTGTTTCAAACTTATTATTAAAGTTTGCTGGAGAAAGATTGTTATTAATTCGATGCACAAAGATTAAATGCTGAGAGGTAATTATTTCAAATACATCTATAATTTTCGTATCTTCCATTAAAGCTTTAGCGTGTTCACGTTTATCTTTAGAGTAAATGATCCTGCTGGCATGTTTTTGTAAGCTATAAATTTTTTTTGTATAATATTTTGCTATAAGTTTTGATGGTTGTGTACTTGCGCATGATATGTTTGCATAGCTGATGAAGCAAACTTATATATTTTTTATGAAGCAAACTTATATATATGAATATATAATATATGAAGCAAACCTATATATTTTGGGCTAATTCATTGCAATGAATTAGCCCAAAATATATAAGTTTGAGACTTTGCTTATTGACGTATGAACGAATTCGATACATCATACCAACAGTTTTGGTGATCTTAGACTGGATTTATTTTAGATTTTATTTGAAGAAGCCAGGGTAAATTTTCATCAATCAAAATTCCTAAGAATTTTATACTGGTGAATACGGGGAAAATGTTAGGCGATCTTTAAATGGATCAAGACTCAAATTTTGGAAACCGCATAATTAGATATAAAAACATTCTTAAATATTAATTAGGGGTGTACCGGAATTCCGTTCCGGCCGGAATTTGTGACTTTTCGGTCGATCCGTTTCTAGTCGGTATAACAATGTTTCAAGCCAGAATGCCGGAATATTTTTTTTTGGCTTCATTTATTTAAGACCTGGCACAGACTGTGTAAATTAAACTAAAAATTCATTGTCCTACAGGGCAATAAAGAATTATGGGTAAACATAGGTATAAAATACAAAATTTTTAACAAATACAATGTAATTTTAGGTAAAGCTACAGTTTAGCACTTTAAGTTAATTTTATTTTTTCGCTTGTTGCGCTCTCGTTAGTGGAGAGTTTTTAAATATTAGAAATTTCAATTGAAATAATAAAAGAAAAAAGATTGCTGCCCTATGCTAAATCCATAGTCAATGTAGCAGCACTTCCTTGTAGAAGCAGACTATAAGATGGTCGATGTTGCAACACTCTCTTTTAGCAGCAGGCTATAAGATAATTGATGTAGTAGCACTCCTTTGTTGGACCAGGCTATAAAATAGTCGATATTTGTACTAAAGCCAATAAATATTCTTTATGTTTATATTGAAAAGTCACTACTTTGAGCAAGTCTCCACGCGAAAACGCTTCAACCGATAAAATAAAATTATTTTAGACCGCACATCTAAAGCTTTCTTTTCAGTAATCAATGATGTAAAGATTTCTGAAAGTTTAGGAATATTGTGGTTCAAAACGTGTTGCTATCCAGTTTTGGCAACAAACAAGCTCTTTTCATCAGAAAATGCTACCTACTTTTGTCAATAGTCTCGTTTTTAAAGTTTCTTAACTTTAAAATAGATAAAATGTATAGGATGCCTAATACAGTGAATATTTCATATATATGTATAAATAATGTATGAAGGTAAATAACTACAAAAATTTAAATCTCGTTCTGGTCGGAATTTCAATCGGAATTTTTTCAACAATTAAAAAGTGGCTTTGTTTATATTGAGGCTCATACAAATTTTTTATTTTCTTATTTTTTTAAATAAACTTTACAAAACTTAAATTTATTTTTAAAATAAATCAAAAAATATATAAAGATTTATTAGTGAAACTCTTTTGCTGCTAAAACATAATATTTAGTGATTACGAGCATTCTACTTCATGATCAGTTATGAGGAATAACTTAACAATGTCTCTTTGTTATTTATTATTATTAATGGCGTATGATGAACTGCCACCTTTTATACAATAATATAAAATTCTATATAATTATAATTATTAAACAATATATTAATTTTAATAAATATAGTACGAATATTTCTAATAGTCGTTTTTTTAATAAGTGTTTTAAGAAACCAAGTGTCTGTATAAGTTATTTAGCATAATAAGAAAAGCGTTTAAAACTATAAGTGTTGGGTTTACGTTGCTCAGAAAGCGTGTAAAATAGAACTATTATCAAAACCGCACTTGGCGCTTTTGATAGTACACGCAGATAGCGAATTTTAAAGATAAGTATGTTAAAAACACTGTGGTTTTAAACGCCTAACTTTTCCTACTTAAATTAAATTTTATTATATTAAACTTATACAGAATTATATTAAACTTATACAGAAACGCGATTTTAAGTTTCAACATTTATACCATTTAGAGGAAACGGTTATAATAAACTATGCATTATCAGCGCATCTCTAATATTGAACCTGAAGCCAAGAAAAATTAATTTGTCGGCGGTATTGGGAGTGCCTATTGTTTTATAAATAACTGTGTTTATTTGTTAAATATTTATATCATATATTATCTTGTGATGATTATATAACTAGAATAAAATAAAAGAAGACAACAAAAGGGTTGAAACAGTTAATGTGATAGCTTTTAATATCTTTTTATTTTTGATTATGGCCGGGGAAGAAGATACAATTTGCTTTTTCGTTAAGCCCCAAAATTTCATAAAAAAGCATATAAATTTACAAATTAATAGAAATGATAATAAATGAAAATAAAACTTACCTTTTGAAAAAAAAATAAAACTAAGAAAAAATAATTAAATAATCGAATAACAATAAACTGAATAATTAAAAAAAAAAAGTAATAAAATTAATACAACGAACTATTAATTTCTCACATTTTATTGCTCCATATTTTAAAAAGACCAAAAGAATTATTAAAATCACTTAAAATAATTACAAAATACATGCAAATATGACACAATACAAAAAAACAATAGTAATAACAATAATAATGACAAAAAATAAAAATACATTAAATAATACTATACATTAAATAATACTATATATATATATATATATATATATATATATATATATATATATATATATATATATATATATATATATATATATATATATATATATATATATATATTGAAATTAAGGTGTTAGCCAAAGATCACAGGAAAGCGTTTGATTAAGACAAAGCCAAAATAGTTTAACAATGATAAATTTTAAAATACTTTAAAAAATGAAAAAATTAAAAAAAATATTTATATCACCCAGATATGCTCAGAAAAAGTCATGCAGTCTATCGCTAACCTGCAGCATCATGCACATTTTTGCTTCGAATTCGTTCAGAGTCTCAAGAATTTTAAGTTTTTGAGTTAGAATTTTATAGGTTATTTATATTTTAAGGGTTTTAGGTTTTTGAGTTAGAACACTATGCATTTGGTTCTTTAATAGACATTGAAACTTGATTGCTCAAACAACCAGTTGCTAATTGATTCGTGATTATAAATATATGGTCTATTAATTTTAGTACGCCAACTTAACCGGTATGTCTGCGTTTTTTAATTCTCTGCTGCACAGATTGAAATAATATTTTACAAACGGTAAACCAGGCAAAGCATGTTACTATGCTTTCATTAAACGTTTGAAGTATAGGGTTAGCGAGATAACTGCGCTTAAGATTTAAACTCTTAGA